GAACAAGATGATCTCCTGAGTTTTGAGCTTTTTTTTCAGATGATAAGGCTTTCCCGTTTGAGGGGTAGGTTACAGGCCACAGAAGATGTTTATCATTGAATATTTTCTTTCCTCCTGAAGCCCTAGGTGATTCAGATCAAAGGGCACAGATACCAAGTTGTGGGACTTTTAGTTAATTCACAGGGCCCTACAAAAGCATCTTTTCAGTTGCCTCTTAAAAAAGAAGCAGCAAACGTGACAATAATGTTTTATTCGAAAAGGAATATATTTTCAATTCATGATGGGAATTTATCATGCAAGGTTTTTATTGAAGTTGAGGGACTTGGTGAAATTCTTCCTCAGGACCACTTCAGGAGGCTTGTTTCTGGGCTTGGGTCTTTATTTTGTTGAGTTGGATATCTATAGTTCCAAGCACTTCAGCTAGAATAAAGCTTTTCATTAATCCTTAGGTGAGTAAAAGACTCAAAAATATCTCTGTCATCTCGTGACATAGGTGAGCTGTTTTGTCTTAACAGATGCTGGTCACCTGCCAATCTAGCAGTTTAAATTACAACATTTTCTCTCATAAACTTAGGGATCTCTTCCTGTGTTTTAGATTCCCTTTGCATATTCCCATTACTCATGGCTGCTACCTGGCACTTTCAGTTAATTTGGGGGCCCAAGTAAGGAGTCAGTGTTTTGTAGGAAAAGCAGCTTATAAGTACCTATTACAATACCATCGTCATTTTTCTAACCAATCATTTGAACCCTACAGCTGCTTTAACCCTTTCTTAGCTATTCTATAAGCTATATATCGTAATGGGAAGTATAATGTGAGATCTGAGAGTTAATGTTAGTAATTAAGCTTGGAATACAAAGCCAAGTGTTGGTGGCACAGTCCTATAATCCTCGCTTCTCAGGAGTCTGAGATTGAGGATTACAGTTTGAGGCCAGTCAAGGCAGAAAAGTCCCTGAGATATTTTTTTTTTTTTTTTTGTCGGTCATGGGGCTTGAACTCTGGGCTTGGGCGCTGTCCCTCAGCTCTTCAGCTCAAGGTGAGCGCTCTACCACTTGAGCCACAGCAGCCCTTCCATCCCTGAGATCTTTATCTCCAATGAACTAGCAGAAAAGCAGGGAGTAGAGCTTTGGCTCAAGTGGTAAAATGCTAGCCTTGAGCAGAAAAAGCTCTGGCCCTGGGTTCAAGAGCCCATACTGGCACTTGCATGTACACACACACATACATACTTACACAACATTGGAATGAAAGAACATGAGTTGCCAGTAGTTCAAGAATATTAAGCAAAATTAGTACTTGGATAAGTAATCAAATTAATTCCAACAGAATCGATGTAGTTTATAAACTTGCTATTTGATAAATTCTAATATTGTAGAAAGACATAAGTATATTCTGCTTCTGACATAGTTTGCTCACAACAAACTTCTCTTAATTTATGTATAAGACTAAACTTATGGGCTGGGAAGGTGGCTCAGTGGTAGAGCACTTGCTTTGCATGCATGAGGCCCTGGGTTTGATTCCTCAGCACCACATAAGCAGGAAAAAAAAAAAAAAAAGCCGAAGTGGCACTGTGACTCAAGTGGTAGAGTGCTAGCCTTGAGCTGAAGAGCTGAGGGACAGTGCCCAGGCCCAGAGTTCAGGCCCCACAACCGGATCAAAAAAAAAAAAAAAGACTAAACTTATCCCTCAGTGTGCATTATCTGCTTGGCTCTCTTTACATACAGCCTTGTGTTTACCTTTGATGGCCTCCACAGAGAGGTTCTGTGCCAGGGATGTTTTCAGAGGATGTTTGACTGAGGTAGTTACTACATTTCAGCTCAGAAGCAGCTACAGAGGAGGAACCACAGATGTTCTGCAAATGTTTCGTTTTGATTTTTTGGGTCTGGTCATGGGGCCGGAACTCTGGGCCTGGGCGCTGTTCCTCAGCTCTTCAGCTCAAGGCTAGCGCTCTACCACTTGAGCCACAGCGCCACTTCCGGCTTTTTTTCTTTTTGCTTATGTGGTCCTGAGGAATCGAACCCAGGGCCTCATGCATGCAAGGCAAGCACTCTACCACTGAGCCACCTTCCCAGCCCCTCTGCAAATGTTTTAAGATTAAAAGAGATCAAAGTCATTTAAGGGGGAGATGAGACGGGATAGATAGATGAGAAGACAAGAAAAGTAGGGTATTTTAAAGAAATATCAAAAGGACCAGACTCAAACATTAGAATCATGAATTAAAACACTAAAAAACCTCATGCATGTAATTCTAGCTTTTCAGGAGCCTGAGTTCTGAGGATCAAAATTTGAAGCCATGCCTTGCATGCACAAGACCCTGGGTTCAATTCTTCAGCACCACATAAGCAGAAAAAGCCGGAAGTGGTGCTGTGGCTCAAGTGGTAGAGCGCTAGCCTTGAGCTGTAGAGCTGAGGAACAGCGCCCAGGCTCAGAGTTCAGGCCCCAGACTGACCAAAACAAAACAAAACAAAACAAAAACAAAAACAAAAAAAATTGAAGCCACCCTGAGCAAGAATCGTCTGTGAAATTCTTATCTCCAATTAGTCATCAAGAAAGATGGAAGTAGAGCTGAGACTCAAGTTGTTTTAGAAACATAGCCTTGAGCACAAAAGCTCAGGGACATGGGGCTGGGAAGGTGGCTCAGTGGTAGAGCACATGCCTTGCATGCATGAGGCCCTGGGTTTGATTCCTCAGCACCACATAGGCAGAAAAAGCTGGAAGTGGTGCTGTGGCTCAAGTGGTAGAGTGCTAGCCTTGAGCTGAAGAGCTGAGGGACAGTGCCCAGGCCCAGAGTTCAGGCCCCATGACCGGACCCAAAAAAACAAAACAAAACAAAAACAAAAGCTCAGGGACAGCACACAAGGCCTGAGTTCAAGCCCCAGGACTGGTGTGCGTGCACACATACACACACACGCACACGCACACACACACACATGAAAACCTGAGCAACTAGTTCTCCCTTCCTCCATACTTCCTTTTAGATGCCAAATTACAGGACAGGGAGACTTAAGAGCAGCCATCTGCATCTGCTTTTTACTATTTCAAAGAAATGGTAGGAAAAAAAAAAAAACCCAAAGCTTTGGATTCTTCATGAATGGGTAAGATACAGAAAGATGGGCAGCATATCTTGGGAAAGAAAAGCCTAAGGTTCACCTATTGTCCCTGGGTTTTAGGGAGGTTCAGATCTATATCCATATTTGAGAGTAATAAACAACACCTATCTTGGCCTCCCAGAATCATTGTCTAATGGACCTGACTGTGTGTATTCTCAAGCTCAGTAAGAATCAAGACAGCAGATAAGCTCTGTCATTTTTGAGTCTTTAGTTCCTTTTTCTTTCTTTTTTTTTTTTTTTTGGGTCCAGTCATGGGGCCTGAACTCTGGGCCTGGGTGCTGTCCCTCAGCTCTTCAGCTCAAGGCTAGCACTCTACCACTTGAGCACAGCGCCACTTCTGGCTTTTTTCTTTTTGCTTATGTGGTGCTGAGGAATCGAACCCAGGGCCTCAGGCATGCAAGGCAAGCACTCTACCACTGAGCCACCTTCCCAGCCCTTTAGCTCCTTTTTCTTAGGTGGGGAGTAGGGAATGTTTCTCCTAGATTTTCATCCCTCTCTATTCTGTCATATTAAAATAAATGCTAAAACTTTTACCTTGTTGGGCTGGGAAAGTGGCTTAGTGGTAGAGTGTTTGTCCAGCATGCATGAAGCCCTGGGTTTGATTCCTCAGTATCACATACACAGAAAAAGCCAGAAGTGGTGCTGTGGCTCAAGTGGTAAAGTGCTAGCTTTTACAAACAAAGCATAAGGACAAAAGTGCCCAGGTCCTGAGTTCAAGCCCCAGGACAAAACAAAAACAAAAGCAAAAACTTCTACTTTGTGAGACTCCCCTTGATGTAAGACACTCCAAAATGCTCCCACGAGTAGATCTTGAGGATCCATGATTTGCATGGAAATTAGGAAGCTGAGGGAACACCTTCACCCATCATTCAGTGATATTGGAATTTATTTTTCATTTAAATGGGTGTGTTTTAATTATACATAACAATTGATTTCGTTGTTCTATTGCCATATACATATAATGTCAACTAGTATTTTAATGTAGTTAACATGCCCTGAATATTTTGTCATGGAAAAATCTGGCTCATTAGAGAACAAAACAATGCCCGGTGAGTATCCCTCTTACGAAAGGTAAAGGAGTTGGTAAGCCGGCGCCTTGTTACCAGATCTGATTATGTGTCACAAACTCTGCTGTCTGTGAGAAAGGGTGTAGCATCTGCTTTTCTTTGGGGTGGGGGGTCAGTTCAGCTTTCTAAAATCTTTACTAGCTTTGTCTGGTTTGGCTAGAATGCCCTCTGGGATGCTGTGGCCAGGAGCTATTCTCAAACCCCATCTCTAGACCAAGGTGTTTACTACATTTCTTTGCAGTATTCCCATACATTACCAGATGGCCCAAGGGTGCTGTGGCTCAAATTAGACCTGAAGCTCCAAAAGAAAGAGGTAGCTGTCTTGAATAATTTTGGTTATAGAAACCACAAGTTTCCACATGTCTCCTGAGACACAATCAGGTGCTTAACACTGTATTCTTGCAGGTGTTTAAGTATTGGCTTGAGATACCAATTCTCGCCAATGTAGAAAGAAGAAAAACGGAATCTAATTCCAAATCTAATTCTGTTGCAATTTTCTTTTGTTCCCTCCCAACATTTTCTTAACTAGCCTACTTTTGCTTTAATATTTCTAACAGAAATGCTTTGCTAATGCTTTGAGGCGGGGCTTTGGCACAGTTGCTTTTGTTTTTTCCGGACTCGGACTTTCTCTCCACATAATGTTGCATCCTGCTCTTTGAAATTCCTACTGAATTTGGAGAAATTATGTCTTGGCATCCAGTGTACTTTCCTGGAACAAGATGTGTTGCTGACTACAGCCTGGTCATTCCTCTTGACAACAAGATTGCTTGTCTCGGTTTACTTGAATATTCAAGGGTGAGTAAGAATCGGAGCAGAGAGCCTGGCTTACCACAGTCCATTCTATGGTTCATGCCGATACTCATTGCTTTTATAATACCACTTGTGGATAAATTGATTAGATGAGGGTGAATCACCTGGCTGGCCAATGGCAATTGGAATGATTCTCCACGTGTGACTTTGTTGCACTATTACAAAATGTGGCAGGAGAGACCTGCCCAGTATTCAGTGCCGATGTTCATTTGTAACGCTGTCTTGAGGAGATGAGAGCGAATTGTTCCAGCAGCTCAGCCTGCTCTGCCAACAGTTCAGAGGAGGAGCTACCAGGGGGACTGGAGACACCTGGGAACCTGCAGCTGGTTTTCACCGTGGTGACAGCCGTGATGATGGGTCTGCTCATGTTCTCTCTGGGCTGCTCTGTGGAGGTCCAGAAACTCTGGTCCCACCTCCGGAGACCCTGGGGCATCGCTGTGGGCCTTCTCTGCCAGTTTGGACTCATGCCTCTGACAGCATATGTGCTAGCCATCAGCTTCTCTCTGAAACCAATCCAAGCTATCACTGTGCTCATCATGGGGTGCTGCCCTGGGGGAACCATCTCCAATGTTTTCACTTTCTGGGTTGATGGAGATATGGATCTCAGGTAAGTGATGCCTGGAAATGTGTCAGTCTCTCTCTTGGGACTGGAAGTAACTGACATCTTTGCATGCACAATACTTGCAGTGTTTTGGTAGATCCCCGTGGGAAATATCACACACGTTGCAGAAGCTTGGTCAGCCACCGACAGACTTTCTTTCCCGAACTCCAGGCTGCCTTTGGGTAGCCATCCTCTGCTTTCCTGGCTTCTATGCTCTGAGCAGTGGGAATCTGGTTTGTATGTGAAAATGGAGATTGGACTCTACCTCACTTGGTGAGCTTTTTCCCAAGCATGAACTCATTCTCATCTGTGCTGACTGACATCATTAACCAAGAGTTCCTGGGACATCCACTGAGAATCCCACAAAGCTGACCTCAGTGATTTGGAGGCTGGCCTGGTGGTGGTTGTTGGTGAAGGTGGCAAAGGGCACAACCAGCGGGAAGCCCTGGTAGCTTTCATCAGTACATCTTTCCTGAGCATCTATCTTGGGAAATAGTTATTTTAGGAAACTGAACAATGGAGCTGTAGGGGTATCTGATGGACATCCTGCTTTAAGTTGATTCGACTTGGGGAGTAGGATTTAAATTGTTCTTTCTGATTCCTTGGCAGATGTTTTGTGCTTCTCATTGGACTTGTACTCATTTTATTTGACCTTATTCCCAGATGTGGGATAAAGAGACATTAAGCCTTTTTTTACACTTTAATGAGGATGAGTGATTTGCATATTTGGGGAAAGAAAACATGTTTTGATGGGGAAAAAAGCATTTGAGGAAAGAAAGATTGGAAAAACGGAAGAGCTAAAAATAGCCATTCTAGATTTTTTTGCTGAATTACTAATACTCTGTTTTACACTCTCTTCTACTTCCCCTTTCACCACTCCCCATCAAGGGAACAAACTGCATACAGGTTTAAATCTTTGTTGAGACTTACTATACAAAAAATGAATGACGGAATCAGAGGGGATGATGAGCTGGGGGCTGATATCACTGAGATGCAGGTCTGGGTTTCTAGTTTCCTGTGTGTGCTGATGTGTAGAACAGATTTTACCTATCAATTTTAATGTGTTCATACCATTCAGACAAGTAATTAGCATTCATATGTCAGTGTCTTTAGTTGTCTCCTTAGGAGAAATTTGAAAAAAAATTTACTTGATATATTTTGTATCTTATGTTTAAGTATTAATATGCTACCAATTTAAATTCAATGAAGTTGATTATTAACAAAGCAAAGAAATGATAAATAGTCTTCACACAAAGTCTGCCTATCATTGATAAATGTCTGATCCGGAAACTTTTTGGAAAGTAAAAGGAAACTAAGATTTATTCAGTATCATGCTGAACTATGGGTTAGTTTCTTTTCTGGTTTTCATACTAACCTTGTCAGTGACCTTTTATTAAACTGAACTTTACAGCTGACAAAACTGTGAGTCAGACTGGTTAAGTAGTTTGTCAAATACCACTAAGAAGTATGGCAGAACTCACATTTGAATTCACATCTGTTTTATATCAATCTGCAACTTGGGCATCCCCACGACATCTAGTAACATAACTGTATGTTCTGTTATGTGTAGAAGCATAAATCTTGAAACAATGTTTTGAAACATTTCTGTTCTGGGAAAGGGAATGTTTATTACTTTCATCTCTTACTGGCAATGAATAGAAAGTCTGTGAAAGATAAAGCTCATTTTACTTCTCTTAACCAATCTATCCTTGTAGCTTTTAACTTTGGTTAGATAAACAGACCAAACTAAATCTAACTAAACAAAAAGAAAATTAAAAAAAAACATAAAATTTAGGAAATGAAGTTTTAAACCATGGACTAGGAAATCTTATCGATTTAAGACATAAAATCTTAATTTTCAGTAAAAGCTTCAGATAGAAAATACAGTATTATTGACTGAAATAATATTCCAGTTATAGATTGCTTCACAATTGATTATGATTAGGAAGCAATCGCTTCCAGGTCCCAGGGCTTTTCATCTTTGCATGGGTTGCTAGGCTGCCAATACTTTTTGTACCCTGTCTTTTTCCAGTGTCCCTCCTCGGGGCAGGCCTTATTTTTGGCCAAATGCAGTATTTTTTTTTAACTGTTCTCTGAACTTTCAGTCTCTTGGTTATAATTTTCGAGTATGTGAACAAGGTAGTCTCTGGTGTCAGATTGCCTGTTTTCAAATTCTGACCACAGATCTCTTTTCTGCAATGGAAATTATAAGCCTTCTGTCATGGTATTTATTGTGAAGAAAAAAATGCCCATGTTTAAAGTTACAAGTTTCCTAGTAGCTGAGTGCTGGTGGCTCACACTTGTAATCCTAGCTACTTAAGAAGCGGAGACCTGAGGATTGCAGTTCAAGGCAGGCCCAGGCAAGAAAGTCTGTAAAACTCTTATCTCCACAGAACTATCAAAAATGTCCAAAGTAAAGCTGCTAGCCTTAAGCAAAGCAGCTCAGGGACAGCACCAAGATTCTCAGTTCAAGCCCCAAAACTGGCCCTAAAAAGAAAAAAAAAAGTTTCTCATTTCCCCACTACTAAAAGGAGCAGAAATCCCTAAGCCAGTTCGCCCTACTTCCCTAGGTTTTTTCTTACTAACCTGTTAGACACAACTGGTTTACAGTAAAAATGGACAAAGTATTGTTTTAAGTATTGCATGCATTTCCAGCTTTCATCTATCCATATTCTTCACAGACCCTTTAATGCTAACTGGCCTCTTTTGTCTCCTGCAGTCATGATTCTTCCTAAAAACTGTCCTAGAGAGAAATTGGCCTGTATGCTAGAAGAGTCTTATACACAGCCTGTCCCTCTGCTGAGTTCAGCTGACTTTGGCTGGGTTTTTGCAAATGTTTGGGAGCTGATTAGATGTAGACCCGTGTTGGAAGTTCTTGGCTGAAACAATGAAGTTCCCTTGGGTGCAGGGGCTACTACCTTCCTGCGGGCTAGCTTAGACCCTGCGGGCTAGCTTAGACCTAATCACAGGGTATTAAGAAAGAGGAAGCAATCAAGGTTTCTTTAGGCTGGAGGTTGAACCTACTTGATCATTTCTGCCAAGGCAAATTGCAAGGCCAGCCATGATTATGGAGTAGGGGATTCTAATTTGTTTCTTAATGGAGACAAAATGGATGAACTATGAAGTTACATGGCAGAGGGAACAGACAAGGGAGGGGTACTAGAGGCATTTTTCCAAGATCCTGTAATAGAGATGGACAGCGTTCTTGCCTTGGAGAAGAGGACTGGAACTGGAAGGCCTGGGGAGAGTGTTGCAGTGAAGAGCACCACTCTGGAAACAGTAGCTGCATTGCTTACCAACGGGGCTGGTTCGGCAGGTTATGCAAATTCTCTCTGCTTCAGTTTCCCCATTTCTAAAACCAGGAGAAGCATACTTCTCTCATTGGTTGTCAGCACTGGCTAACTTAATAGACCTAAGAGTTAGACTTTCATTTGGTACAGCTGGCTATATGAACTATGGTATGAAACAGGCAAAAAAGCTGGGAGTCCTGCCAGGACTCTGTTTTAGTTACTGCTCATGACACAAGTTAGTTGCCCACTGGGGGCATCATTTTCTTTATTTGTAAGACTTGCCAAGGTCTTTTTTGTTGTTGTTGTTGGTTGTGGGGCTTGAACTCTTGGCCTAAGCCCTGTCCCTCAGCTCTTCAGCTCAAGGCTAGCGATCTACCACTTGAGCCACAGCGTCACTTCTGGTTTTCTGAGTGGTTTATTGGAGTTAAGAGTCTCTTGGAGTTTCCTGCCTAGGCTGGCTTTGAATCTCCATCCTCAGATCTTAGCCTCCTTAGTAACTAGGATTACAGGCGTGAGCCACTGACGCTCAGCTGTCTTTTATTTTATTTTTGTTCATTTGTTTTTGTTTTTTGTTTTGGTCCTAGTGCTTGAACTCAGGGGCCTGTGCCTCTCTCTAAGCTTCTTTTGCTCAAGGATAGTGCTGTTCCACTTGAGCCATACCACAGCTCCACTTCCAGATTTTTGGTGGTTGATTGAAGATAAGAGTCTCACAGAGGGGCTGGGAATGTGGCTTAGTTGTAGAGTGCTTGCCTAGCATGCATGAAATCCTGGGTTTGATTCCTCAGTACCAACCACATAAACAGAAAAAAGCCAGAAGTGGTGCTTGGCTCAAGTGGCAGAGTGCTAGCCTTAAGCAAAGGGAAGCTCAGGGACAGTACCCAGGCCCTGAGTTCAAGCCCCAGAACTGGCCAAAAAAAAAAAAAAAAAAAGAGTTGCACAGGCTGGCATTGAATAGAAACCTCAGATCTCAGCTTCCTGAGTAGGTAGGATTGCAGATTTGAACCATGGGAGCCTGGCTCCAAGGTCCTTTCTTTATATTGTAAAATAGGCAGAACCAAATTTGTCACTTAAGCAAATTTTAAATGTTATCATTCAGTAGTGTCGAGAACATTCACATTGTTGAATAACCATAACAACAGCCATCTGTCTCCAAAATATCTTCATCTGTTTCAACTAAACAATAGCTACACTGGTAACCATTTATTCTCAGTTATGTGAATTCAACTATGCAGGACACCTTATGGAATATTATGACATATATCATATGTCATAATATTGATTATATGTGGTTATAATTAATTATATATATTTTAACGTCACATAACACCTCCAAAGATTAATAGGAGTAATAATTCTGTTAATTTTTCTTTTTCTGCTAAGAGGTTGAACTCAGGGCTCTGAGCTTGGTAGGCAGGTTCTCTACCACTTCAGCCATGTCCCCAGCCATTTATTTATTTATTTTTACTGTTATTGTTGTTTTTGCATTTCCTGGGGCTTGGACTCAGGCCCTGGGCACTTTCTCTGAGCTTTATTTTTATTTATTCATTCATTTATTTATTTATTTATGCTCAAGGGTAGCACTCTACCACCACAGCTCCACTTTTGGGTTTTTCCTGGTTGATTTTTAGTTATTTAAGAGTAGGGTCTCATATGTTTGACATGGCTGGATCATGATTTTCCTGTTTATACTCCCAGTGTAGCTGGGATGGCAAGCAC